CTAAAAAAATAATCAAAGTAATTCGATAGTTTTTAAAACTATCGAATTACTTTGATTATTTTTTTAGTGTGAGAAATATAGCTTTCAACTTTTGAAAAGTCTAACACAACATTTTCAAAAAGTTTACCTTTTCTTCACTAACTTCCAGGGATTTTAAGTTGTTGCCGACAACACGCAACTCTTCTTCAAGCTCTACAATTTTCCTATAAAACACGGTTAATCCATATATTTCTTTTTGTTTAAAAACACGTGTTTCACTTAACTAAGGAGTCTAACCTTGTTTTGTTTTTTTTCGTTTCTAAAATGTATTTTTTTAAATGCAATTACCTATTAAACTATCAACACTAATTATAATACAAAGCCGACGAGGTTAAGTGTTTTGACGGTAATATATCTCACTTAGTTATTTACTACACATTCAAACAGAAAACCATATAAAAATTCTAATTCGCACTTAACATGATCATTTTCATATGTTTTTTACCTTTAATTCGTACTTGACATGCGCTTTTTCATTTATTTTTACCTTTAGTTTAAAAAACGTAGCAAATTTGGTATTTTCGTATAAAATGTGAAAGTTATTCATGGCAACCATTACATTTATTTTCATTTCAACCGGTATATTCAAACTCTCTAATGAAAGGCTCGATACAGCAATGAAAAAAAATCATGGCGTTACATCTATCTTTATCTTCATTTAGTTGATGTCCTCATAAATGCAAATAGGATATTAATATGTCTAGCTACTCTTTTTCGGAAACGTTTACTTGAAGTTTTTGAAAAATCTTAGATGATTTGTTAAGACTGTTTTGTAACTGTTGTCTTGAAAACAAATCTATCAATAGAAATTTGAAATTGTGAAATTAAATCTTTAAATATATATCGCATGCCAAAGATTTTTATCTTTCTTTATAAATCAGTTGTATTAGACAAATTTGCGTTAATTTGTTCTTGCTTAAGCACTAGGTGCCGATCATACTCGTCCTTTTAATCTTGGGGACGTTTTAATGTGAAGGTCAATACCACAATTCATTAATAAAGAGTGTCTCAAGAGATGACGACGGGTGCTGCTGGCCGGATCCTTTACTGTTGGACAGCAGTGTAAAATTAAAGACAGCGGCTGATAAACATAGTAGCTTTGACATAAACAAACAATCTTTCTGAGCTGTTTGTCCCCAGAACACGATCAGTAGAGTTACATTTGTGTCTTGGAATTATATTCAGTCAGAAGCTCATCAGTATCAATGTTATTTTAGGATTGCTTTTATCAAACTGATCAATCGGTGTGTCACGGTAAGTATGCGAACTTACAATACTAAAATCCGGGGTTGATTCCGCGCGGTTGACAGAACACAGATAGATCGTTATATAGCTTTAACTCTATCGTAACTCTCCTTTATACATGTGTTTTGTTCAATACATTATATTTTCGTGTCCTGTACAAATTACTTTCATGGTTAATATATATTTCGTCATTTACTATCAATATTATAGAAATACCTATTCGTACCTGGTCAGTTTAAGAGCTGAAACGATCATCATGGAAATATCTATTAATATAGAAATATTATATATGAATTTTAGGAAAATAAAACTGGAAATACGCAAAGTTGGAGAGGAAATAAAATGTAGATGAAAATATACTGTTGTGGTTTGAAATGTTTATGCTAAAACTATTGTACTCACTAATACCAATGGCTTGTACATTTATTCTATAAAACACATCTTAGATAAAGCTCGTGTCAAAAACTTACGATTCGCCTGTTTCTGCTCGTTCTTCTGCTCTTTCTAAATCAGCCTCAACCATGGCCAATTTACGAGCAACCTACAATCAGATTATTGGTCAAGTTTAGAAAATACACAGATCCTCCTTCGAAAAATAAAACCTCTTCGAAAATTGAATAGTTTACAGGTGAAATACACTACGATACACAAATAACACATGAATGTCTATTTTACTCTAAGCTTCATTTAATTTTAGTACAAATAATTATTAATGTAAGAAATTTTATTAGTTGAAGTAAGAATAATTTTTAAAGTAAGAAGTATTTGTCACATTCACGTAGTTTAAGTAAGCTGGTTATTATATTAATACAGAAAAATAAGTATAGTTACTATATTAATGTAGAAGAACCTGTTTGTTAAATCAGGCTAGTCATTATGTTAATGCAGAAGAACCTGTTTGTTAAATCAGGCTTGTCATTATGTTAATGTAGAAGAACCTGTTTGTTAAATCAGACTACTTAACCCGTAAGAAATGTACGTTTTAATTGAATTGGCCATTAATTAACGTGAGAAAACCATATTGTTTACTCAATGAGAAGCTTTAGTATAGATTAAACACGGCTAGCTACTAAAGTAAATTAAAATCGAACATTGTTTTATTAACAGTATTTTCCCATTAGTATCATGCTGTAAAATTTCCTTTAATTAATAGGCTATTTGTTTAAAAAGCGAAATAAAAATGTGATATTCTACGATGGTCTACAGCTTATTAATATGAAACTGGAGTACCTCCATTAACGAGTTAGTTGTCTAACAAGCAACAGCCATGTGACACATAACAACGACATGCCATCGTCGTCACCTCATCATATTTTCTGTCAGAGTCTTCTGCCATCATACGGGCTTCTTTTAATTGCCCGTCCAATGAATCCATACGCTCCTCGTCCGTAATGCTTCTATGCTCCAGCATCTTGCGCATACTAGAAACGAAAGGATGATTACTTCTACTATTTGTTGGTTTCTTAAAAGTACAAACTTAAAAGTTTATGTTATAACGATAACATTCACATTTTAATGCTCTAAATAAATACCTTTACCACAGCTCGTTCTACTATAAAATCGTTATTAGAAATATCCTACAATATAAAATGGTCATTTTCATTGGTACTCTACGTAGTTCTGACCTTTCACTCTTCAGTGTCTACTTGTGCTCACCGTTCACTTTCATCGGCTAGTTGAGTGGCCTCTTCAAGCTTTTGAGTGGCGATTTTCAACCGTTCTTCTGACCTCTCCAAGTCTTCCTCCAGCAGTTGAACCCTTCTGTTAAGAGCAGCAACTTCTCCTTCAGCCTAATGTTACAGCAGATTGGTTGTAAATTTCAAAGTTTTCAAGATAATTGACAAATAAGCCGTACTCTCATACTTATTACTAAAGTAAATAGCACAACAATTATAACAACCCATACGTTCACACAAGTCAAATTAGAATGAATAATTCGTATAATGTAACACAACATTTATAACAGCCCATATATCCACACAAGCCAAATGAGAATCAATAATTAGTATAATATACCTTCTTACACAGAAATTTCATGAGTTAACCTTAATAACTAATTTCAAATGATTTTTTTCTTAAAACACTGAAAGGTTTACTTACATTCTGTAGAGCCTTATCTTTTTCTTCTAGTTTGGCGTTCGCGGTAACAAGTTGTTCTTGGACTTGATCTAATTCGTTTTCAATCTGTTGAATCTTCTTTTGAAGGGATCTGACTTCTTCTTCTGCCTATAAAGTCAAATTGCTTTAATTTACTCTTCAAGCAGTAAATTATCTTTTCTGCTAAAGATTTATAAAATGTTTTTATTAAGAAATATTGTTTCGTTCTAATTTGAAAAGATTTATAAAGCCTCCAAAAGAGTTAATTCCTTTTTTATATTATGGCATTCTAATTTTTTTCATCGTAACAGTTATCAATTTTCTCGATAATACAGAGTTTATTTAATCGAACTGGGAATCCAAGGGTTCAGGCTTCGAGATATGGTGCTTACCACACGACCTTTTAACTGTGGTTGCATAAATAAGAGAGACGGTCTACCAATATCTGACCATTGTGTGAATAAGGTGTTGTTCAGGTGTACAAATCCTTTTAAAGTGTTAAATTCCGACGTGTTATTTTAATTCTATATTCTGCATAAGTTACTTTTTAAGAAAGGAAACAGAACAAACAGCTAACAGTTACATATACAGTGAAAAGAAAATCTTAGTAAAATCGTAATCCTGATCGTGTAACCAATTTTCGACTTAGGATATAACTGAACTATTATGATAAAAATTATACTCAAACAGAAATGAATTCTCAAGGGTATAAAGAAGTCTTACAATTCATAAAAAGTAAATTTACAGCCATGACACTTAAATTTCATCTGAAAATAAGAAACTCACATAAACAAATACACGACCTTCTCATTTTTTTAATTCAGGAAAAGACATAGCTTTATACGTGTCTTTGTTAATATTCAAGAACTAGTATTTAATATAAACTATTAATAATAATTATTATCATTTGCTCAATATTTAAGATTTAAATAAAACTGCTAATTATTTTCTTCTAATTTTTTGTCAATATTCGAGGAAGGATTTTAGATAAAATCAATGATTAGGTAAGCGTGGTAATAACATTCAGAAAATAGAGTTTAGTTAACACTACTGACCAGATTATGTTGTACACAAGAAGCGTATTTAGATGAAACTATTGATTTAGTATGCGTGTTGTCGGTACTGTGAAACTCTGATTACACGTGTGTTATACTCAAGAAATGATAATTACATAGATGAAACTATTGATTTAGTATGCGTGTTGTCGGTAATCAAGAACGGTATTTAGAAAGAACTAGTGATTAGAGTTACATGTTGTCAGTAACACACAAATCCCAGTTTGTCTTTGTTACCAAGTGTGTCCGAACAAAGAAAGATTCGTTATGTTTTTACTTATCTAAACAAATAGTATGACTCATTCTTGCATGGAGGTGAATTTAGTCGTGTAAAAAATTCTCTGTGCCTGGGGAAACATGCCATAGTTATGTGTGGGCCGAAAACATTGCCATGTATAGTTAGGTGGGCTATTTTTAGTAAAGGAACTTCTCTGCCCAGCATTGAGTTACATATTACGTATGCTTCTGACTAAATGTATTTTTATATAGAGCTCTGCTAATAAAAAGGTTAAGGCAAGAATAGTTTCTAAGTACGCGTGTAATATAACCCACGCAGCACTTCCGTCATTAGTGTTCGGATTTATAAATAACCCAATAGTAAGATGAACCCATATATTTCTAGTTAACAGTAAATAATGATTCGTTTGTAAAACACATTTACAAAAACGTTGTCTAAGCTTAGTTTCAAATATAGTTTCAAAAACATCAGTCTTTAATAAACTGTATTGTAGAGGTTTGATTCATTCGTCCAAAAATGATCGAATAACATGGTCGAAAGGAATTATTAAGCTAACTATGTATATATATAGACAGTTGTACACGAATAAAAGTTTTTATATGCAACTATGATATACAGAGCTGTGCCAAAAATAATTAAATAGCAGTAAAACCTTTCTAGAAAATACTTTACTATAGGTTACCAATCATTACCTTACCTTATCTGCACGAGCATTAGCATCACGACTCTGTTGCTCGGCGATATCGGCCCGGTCACACGCGTTCTCCTTGTCCAGTTTCATCGCCTGCATCTTCTTTTTGATGGCCTCCATGATGCTAAAATGAGCGATGGAACACTTCTGCGTCCAGACGAAGCCCTAATCTCAGGAAGACTGCTGCTGACAACGGAAAGTCAGTTTCACTAAAGCTTATCCAGGTTGCTCATAATTGGTTGGTTGTTTCTTACATCATTTCCGTCGTTCTTTCCTCAAAAGAAAAAACAAAAAAAAACTTCCTTCAGTATCGAATGTCAAGTAGCCCTGGAAAAGTCTTACTATGAAAACATCTGGAAAACTCCTGCGTCTCGAGTGGGTTTCTAGGTGGCTTATTGCTGCAATATAAAATATGTATTGAATATTTATTATATGATGTCAAAGTAGTTCTGCATGACATACGAAAATAATTTAACACCACTAAACATACTTAAAAAAGGAAAGATATTTATAAATTATCTAGGAGTACTGTGCAATTAATAATCAACGTAAAATTTAAATACCTAGCCTCTGTTAATCAACCTCAACTACAGGTAAATCATTAATTTGAAATTCTGGGTTATTAAACGCCTAAGTTAAACTTGAATAGATAGTCAGTATTGATAAAATGTAACTAAGTAAATCATTAATCAGAAATAACAATTAACCTAGTAATTAACATATGTGATTTAATGAACCTTTCTAATTATGAATATGCAAAGACATAAAACAACATTTATAATAATTATAATGTATTGATTCATAAGATAGATACCTTCACCGTTAGCAATATTTTCCTAGTAGTATCTCTTGAGGCTTAGCGACTTAAGTTTGTTCTAAATACGTATACTGCAAAATAACTGTCACCATTTAAAATATACTGTATATATATATATATATATATATATATACATGTATGTGTGTGTGTTATATTAAATAGCTGTTATAATAAACATTAAAAACTGTATAACGTTGTCGTTAAGACAATAGGGTTTATCTACGTTGTCACGGTTAGTAGGCTATACGATCTCCGAGTCTAATCAATATTTTGTTGCTGTTCACTTCATTACTAAATACTAATTATTGATTAGTTTATGCTTTGTGTTACGGCTGCTAATCTGGTAAAAACTTCACAAAGTTTTAAGAAAGACTGTTTGTGATGGCAGAGGCGAGAATTCGATCCTGGATCATCTTACTAGAAAGTCTGGTATGTTCGATTGAGATCTTCCTCATTAGAGCTAGAGTCAAGTTTATATTCAACAATGACTTTAAAGGCTTAAAGATAAAATATGCGATTGTCAATACTACATTGTTTTAATTTGGCTTATAATACACACAGTAGGCTATTGATAACGTTGATGGTATAACGAATAGAATGTAATCTTTTCACTTGAACTATATTCTAGCTTTATCCTGAAAATTGTTTCATAGTAGGAAAGATTTCTTTTTAAGCGTATTCAAATATTTCGATCCACAAAAACTAACACATTTATAAAAAGATCTAGTTATCTTTCCTATTAAGTGGACCAAACATGCTCGCCCTTTCAGCCGTGTGGGCGTTATAACGTCACGGTCAATCCCACTATTCGTTGGTAAAAGAATAAGCCCAAGAGTTGGCGGTGGGTGGTGATGACTAGCTGCCTTCCCCCCCTAGTCTTTCACCGCTAAATTAGGGACGGCTAGCGCAGATAGCCCTCGTGTAGTTTTGCTCGAAATTCAAACGACACCAAACCTATTAAAATGGCATTTGATCTAGCAAAATTTTAATATGTGCTGCCATCTGTTGAACATCAAATGAATAAAGAAGAATGTCAAAAGTAATACAAATTACAAAGAATATATTTTAAAAAAACTTTGTGTTACGTCTCCGTTTGTTAATTAATTTCCCGTAAATTCGTTCCGACGAAACTTTAGCGACACAAGTCCT